CGGGGCCTCTCGCCGCTGCGGGGCCGGGGGGGCCGGAGCCCGGGGAGCCCCCGGGGAGCGGTCCCGCCGCGCTGCTCACCGCGCCCGGGGCCTCTCCCCGCAGGGCTACTACACGCGCCGCGGCGGCATCGGCGAGAGCGGGGATTTCATCACCTCACCTGAAATCAGCCAGGTGTTTGGAGAGGTAACGCGCAGCTCCTGCTGTCTGAATGGCTCCTGCACGTTGTTAAGTTACAGTTAAGCTGGTTTTGGGGGAGAAAGGGGTGTTTGGTGTTTTTGGACTTCGGGGGCTCCTTGTGTTAGTGTCTTGGACACCACCTGTGCTTAGTAACACTCAGTTCCACATACAACTTTTTTACAAATACAACAGTTACGGTAGTTTCCCAGTGTGAATACTCTAGTCAAAAATCATTGTCAGAGTTCAGTCTGGTTCACTCTGGACTCTGTATCATTTCCAGTGGTGAAGACTGGCCCAACGTTGTTGGTGACCCTTTGTTAAATGCGTTGTCTTGAAGAACAGCTGTTGAGGGGTAGCTGGGCAGGGTCCTGCAGTTGAGCCTTAAGCAGAAGTTTGTTCACCAACGACATATCCCACCCTTTTACTGGCAGAGAGTTGCTTCTGCTGGGCTGGCAGCCATCAGTCACTAATTTTAATTCTTAAGAGGGCAAAGTTATGTATTATTTTTTCTTAACTTTAAAATATAGGCAGAGAATGTTGAATACTATCATAGTTATGAGACAAAAGGCAGATGTCACTTTCCACAAGTTCTGATGTTATGACTGTATGTCTTCGTGTTGTTTCTCCCTGACAGCTAATAGGAATATGGTATATTAGTGAGTGGATGGCCATGGGCAAACCTAAGGCGTTCCAGCTGGTGGAACTGGGCCCAGGAAGGGGCTCTCTTACTGATGATATATTACGGGTAGGTGAACACTATATTATTAATATTCTCCATTTCTGGCTTTGTTCTGTGACTGTGCTAAAGTCTGAAGGAATGATGTGTTGCTATCAGAGTTTAACCTTCCCTAGTGAACAAATAATTTCAGTCAGGAGATTTGCAGCTTAGAATTTAATTAGAATGCTTGCAACCTTCTGCTGTTCAGCAAAGAGACCAGGAATCAGAGTTCAACTGCAGAACACAGGCCGGTGTGTGCACACTGCACAGAAACGTGTATAGTCTTTCAAACACTGTTTGACAGGAGGGCAGAAATACTCCATTGCAAATTATTTCTGTAGAGGAAAGCATTATCCAAACTGAAATCCATTTAGGGGGGTGCTACTGTGTGTAACGGGAAAGGAGGCAGCAGTGCAAGCAGGAGGAGGAAGGTAGGCAGGACAATAATACAGGAGTGAAGTTTTGTCAGCTCCTTTGCGGATTTCAGGGGCTTATTTCTTCCGTGTTAACCCTTTGTGTTCAATCATGCTTGCATGGCTGTCTCTTAATTGAAATACTACTGACAGCATTTTGTGTTGCTGTCCTTGCACTTACGTAATATGGGTTGTATTTTGCCAACTTTATTAGAAGTGTAGCAGCTTTTATTAAAATTGATGAAGAAATTCCTGCTTCCTTCTGGAGGAGCAAAAAGTGTCTCCATCACTGAGATGATTTTGTTAAATGAAAGCCAACTAAATATTTTATCTTTAATATAAATAATGAGAAAAAAGGTTAATTCTTAAAACCTTTAATGCATACAGCATGTGACTGTGCCTAATAGAATTCATCTGCCTTTATAGGTCTTCAAGCAGCTTTCCTCTTTACTTAGTAAATGTGATGTCTCTATTCATCTGGTAGAAGTGAGTCCCAAACTCAGTGAGATGCAGGCGCTGATGCTGACAGGAGGGAAGGTGCAGTCAAACCCCCAGGATGACTCTGCTTACATGAAAGGTGTTAGCAAGACTGGAATTCCCATTTTCTGGTACAGAGACATTCAAGATGTCCCACCAGGTAAAGAGCTTGAATCTCTTGTTAAAAGGCTGGCACCCTCCTCCCTTTGCAGCTTTTGATAACAGAGGACAGCTCTGCTAGCCTTCATAAAAGTAGTTAAGATCTGTTCTTATTTCTTGAATGAGTCTGAAGCAGGATCTTGACTCATTCTCACAGCTACTCCTTATTCTGACTATGCTTCATGTTGGGATAGCTGCCCAATTTCAAATATTCTGGCTTTTTCTTTTCATGGGAAACCATTTACTGGCTTTGTCTGAAGCTCCTTTCGTGAGATAGCAATCTAAAATTCATGGACTGGAAGCTAGAGCTAGCTGTAGAAATTATGTCTTTGATGTATCCAAGCTGGAAGTAATTATAATTACTTGATAACCACAATAGTTAGCTTAATTAATTAAAATTCATATAAACATTTTAATTTTAAACTGCAAGCTGCTTTGGAAGCATTAGTAATTTAATGCATTCTTTTTACTTTCCTGCAGGTTACAGCTTTTACTTAGCACATGAATTTTTTGATGCCCTGCCAATACATAAATTTCAGGTATAGCAAGAAGATTATTGTAATTGAGAGCATCTACTTAAACACCTTTTCTCTTTGAGGAAGAATAGAATTAGGGTGCCATACTAGTCACATGTGATAAAATATTTCAAATTGTCTGTGATAAAATATTTCAAATTGAACTTGGACAAATAAGGCTTAATTCAGTTGATAACTGTAAAACTTGTAATTGTTCTTGCTTATATAAGTCTCAAGTTTTTCTTATGCTATGTTCGTTAGTTTTTTATTTCAACATTATTTAATGTACCACTACTAAGACAATGCCTTGAAGGGCTTAGCAAAATAAAGTCTAGTTAGGATTCAGACAAAACTTTCAGCTTCAATTTGAGAATTAGTTTTTATTAGTGGTAAAACAAGTTTATTTTGAGAAGTTAAATGTTGCACTGTCAACAGAAGAGGCAGCATTTTTCTTAACAGCATCCTTCTTTTAAGTATAATGAAGCCTGTATTTGTTGACTCTGCTGGCAAGTCTCTACCACAAGCTTTTTCCATGGAAGCTACTGGAATTAAATAGGAATTAATAATTATGTTTAATAGCATATTATGTTCTTAAAATGTTTGTGAAAATGCTGACACATTAATTCAATTAAATAAACAAGATAGTGTTGTACCCATTAGAGTGCAAAATGAGCTCTCTGCTTTCATTCAACAGAGAACAGAGAAAGGCTGGCGTGAAGTGCTGGTTGATATAGACCCAGAAATTCCCGAACAGCTGCGGTTTGTCCTGTCACCATCCAGTACCCCTGCGACTGAAAACTTTATTCAGGTAAGTTACCCTCACCAGAGTTTAGACTTACTGTCTTTGCTGACTCTTTCAAGGATATTCACTGCTTCTCAGTTACTTTGACAGCAAGAGGAGGGCTCTCAGTCTAAAAATGAGTAAACACCCCTCACCATTTCCATTCTGCAAAACTTTCACAAGCACTTAACTTTGCACACTGTGAAAATACAGCACAAGAATAAACATGTACCTCAAATTTTGCAAAATCAGAGCTTAAACAGACAAAACACTTCAGAGAGCAAACTGAAGCGACAGGGAGTTCTGCATGGCAGGGGTCACATCACCATCATGACAGAGGCCCTGCTTTAACCAGGCTCTCAACCTGCTGCGAACATACTCAGTGCAGCTGGGTACTTCTGTGGTATACTGACCTTTAAGGGGTAGTGTCTTTAAGTTGTTTTTATTTTTCTAAAGTTCACTGGATTCTTAAAGTTCCAAATTAAGTAGTTGAGTTTAAAACCAACTACAAAGTTTCACTTCCTTTTTGAAGAGTGCATACAGTTGGTAAGTCGTTCTCATTCTTTCAGCATCACAGGAATACAGTTTCATCTGATGCAACTTTGAGAAAAAATTTCATTTCCATTGACTATAGGTTATAGAAAACTGAAATCCAGCAGAGAACACTAATTGAAATTGACAGCAAAAACTAGCTCAAGCTTTAAGTAGCCTATAGAATACACCCCTGTACCTCTCTGCCCAATGAAGTGACATCAGGTGTGAAGAACTCTTGCCCTATACTTGCTTGCTAGCACAATACTTGTTTGCAGATTGTTTTGACCTTTGAACTCTGTACTAGCCTGAAGAAACAAGAGACCATGTTGAAGTGTGTCCTGAGGCTGGTGTCATCATTCAGAGGCTTGCGTGTCGTATAGAAAAGGATGGTGGGGCTGCACTGGTTGCTGATTATGGTCATGATGGAACCAAAACAGACACTTTCCGGGTGAGCCATTTGCCCTGAAATAAGCCAGAATACTTTGTTTTCATTTATTTGACACTTGGATCATAAGGTTCTTGTAAGAGACAGATCTTGGGTGGATATAATTACTCAGTTCTGTGATTGCAGGACATGGCAGTTTTTGCTATTGAGTTCTTATGGATAATGATAAAATACAAATTTCTGCCCAGATGATCTGAGCCCTTGTTACATTTATTTCAAATTTTCAAAGTATCATTTGCTGTTCTCAGCCCTCACATGCACAACTGAAGTCTTTGCTAGCCCCAGCTCTGGTAGTTAGGAGTACTACTGAGTATAGTCTTCCAAATTTAATTTTCCAGGGTTTTCGGAATCACAAACTACATGATGTGCTGAAAGATCCAGGCACAGCAGACCTGACAGCAGATGTTGATTTCAGCTATCTTCGAAAGATGACACAGGGAAGAACAGCCACTTTGGGCCCTATAAAACAGCAGGAGTTTTTGAAAAACATGGGCATTGACCTCCGATTACAGGTATGACAGTGTTTACAGGTACATAAACTCTCCTAATCCACAAGTTATACTCTTAGTAAGCAAGACAGCTTTTATAAAAACCTGATTTTGAAAGAAAGTTGTTCAAAACGACATGTAGGTGTGAGATCAAAGAGTTGCTTCTGCTAGACATAAGTTACTCTGGATCCCTCAAAGTAAACTTATGGCATTATGTCAAGGAGTATTTAGTGCAAAAGTTTGCTACATACATCACTGTATGAGCTTCATCAGTTCTCCTGAACACTCTGGCACTGTTACATTAGTGTAAGTGAAAAGGATGCAACAAGAGATTGCAGGAAGGGCCATAACCTTCTTTTTTTTTTTTTTTTTTAGGTGCTCTTGCAGAATTCACGTGACACAGCAACTCGTGAGCAGTTACTTCACAGCTATGACATGTTGATGAATCCCAAGAAGATGGGGGACTGCTTTAACTTTTTTGCCCTGCTGCCTCACCACAGACTTGTACATCCTGACAAGAAAGATAAGCCAGAATCGAAGACTTCCTTACCACCTGTCGGTGGATTTTGTGAACTCTTGCTGACGTAATTTCAAATACCATAGCAAAACGTCTGATAGTAGTAGCTTTCAGTAGCAACTTATTAAAAAAACCAAACACACAAAATCAGAGTCCTGTGCTTTGTTTTCACACACATCAGCCTAGAGCTTCACATGCAGTAAAGTAGGTACTAAATATTTTTTTATCTTTGCACTGAAAGCACATGAAGTGTCACATTAATTCTCCAGACAATTTTCTCATACCAATCCGCACTCTAGGGCCTAGCCATATTTTGGTATGGAGAGCAGTTAAAGGATTTCACCCATCAGTGGGTAACTCTAGGTTAACAGGCTAGGACACAGTTACTCCCTTCACAATCCTAAATTTGAAAATAAAACAATTGCTCGATAAATTGAATCTATGACAACACCAATCTCCTCTATTAAAAATTCCCCACATTTGATAATCATAACAGCATACCCCAAATTCTCCCTACTGGCTCATACACCTCAATGTGATATGAAAGAAGTTCTTGGAAAGCCGTAACTCCAGTACCGTTTAGACCAGCCATAGCCATTGGTCTGAGGATCCTACAGATCATCAATTCTAACATTTGCACAGAATCATAAAACAGATATACAAGGTGTCTAGGGTTGGCCTGAAGCTAAATAGACGAAAAAACGACCTGCCTAAAACCTGTAATTTGGCCCAAAAGGTCACAAAAGCAATCACTATATGTAGTAACAGTTCTATTGGTACAGGCATCTTGGTATCGCAATGCAAACTTTGCCCACAAGGTGTCGCTCACAGATAAAACATGAAAACACTAAAGGAAATAATAGCCCACAACAGTTCATTATTCAGATCCTTTGTGAACATAAGAATAATGTATCCACGTCTCTTTCTCAGAAACCTTGACAGCATAAAAAGATGTTAGGAAAACAACATAAGGTCCTTCCCTGTTGTGGTGAGCGGGAGTCAGACACACGATGCTCATAGAGTTATGGTGAATGCTCCATTTTATTGTTAGGTACATCAGTATATATAGGTTTATTACAAAGATCATTAGGTCTTCAATATGCTAACTGATTGGTTAGTAATTACTTATTGCTCACGCGTTATGACGAGCTATAACTTTGATACTTTAGGCGCTGTAGTAAGTTACTATTTGGATACTTCTTCTGCTAAACCTGCATCTTGTTGAATATGGTCTTCTTTGTGGTCTTTGTGGCATCAGCATCTCTAACTGGTCCTGCTTCAGTTCCTTCTTTGTATTCTGCTGTTACAAAGTTCCTTTAACCTGTTACTAAAGTGTCCTTTTCTCCTGTTTCTTGCTCGTACAGCTCTTCTGTTCCCTGCACGAACAGCTCTAGTATTTTTCCATGTCCATTGCTGTACAGAAATTCATCCACACTTCCCCTCTGGGTTCAAATCCATTTTTTCCTTCTAAAATTCTTGATACATGCTTTGTCACTTGGCTGAATGTCATGAACATAAATCTCAGGACTTACTCCTGGATACCAATAAGCATGATTATGCATTTGCAAAAAAATAATTTTGCAAATACAAAAGACATTGTGTGACTTACTCATCTCTGTCCAAAAGACTAGTTTTTGCAGGTATATATATACCAGGAACAGCAAGTATTTTTCTAAATAAAATTTCAGCTGGAGAAACTCCAACTGGTTGTCTAGGAGTATTCCTAATATCCCACAAAACTAAATTTAAAGCATCAGGCCATTTTAGACCAGTTTGTTTACAAGCTTTCACTTATTTTCTTTCAAAGTTCTGTTCATTTGTTCTACCTTCCCTGAGGACTCAGGATGATGTGGGGGTGTGTAGTTGACTAGAAATTCCTGAAGAATGGTAAAGGTGTATTAAAATAGCAGCTGCAAAATGGCTTCCCCTGAGTCAGTGACTTAAGGAACTCCATATCTTGGAATTACTTCCTTCAATAAAGCTTTCACTACTGCTTTAGAATATTTTTTCCTAGTTGGAAATGCTTCTACCCATCCTGACAGTTTGATCAACTAACATGCAAGAGTACCCCATTACTTTTTGGTATATCTGCATAGTCAATTTGTAGTTTTTGAAAAAGAAAGGTGTAGCTGGTGGTCTTTTTCCACTTGGAGGTTTGATTTGCCCAGAAGCATACTGCTTACAAAGTTTACATCTCTCACAAATTCTATTTGTTGCTGCATAGATTCCTGGGGCAGCCCAAAGTCTTTGCCAATCACCAGGTTTTTTGGCCCCTCATGAGTCTTTTCGTGCAATAATGTAATCAGTATTAAATACCTGTTTGGAAGAAGAGGTTTGTTGCTCAGCATCCACTGTCCTCCTTGTCTCTGGGCCCCTAGCTGAATCCACTGCTCCTTTTCTTCCTCAGGAAGGTCTCCATCCAACTTTTCTATATCAGGAAGCTCAGCCGCTGTTTCATATTGCACAAGAGACATAACCAGTCACAAACTGTCCTGCTGCAGCTTTGCCACTTGATGGGCAAGGAAGCATAAAGAAACATTTGCTTGTAAGAATATTTGATAGGAGAGAGAATTCACGTAGATAAAATGAACAAGTCTGATAGGGAAATAAATTTTATTTTCAAGCTTATCAGAAGATATTTACAAACAAGGGGGATGTATAAAAATATAAAAGTACTTGACAGTGTCCTTTTGAGGCTATTAATTTTACATGAGCTTTTTTCCAGAATCATAGCACTATTTCTTGAATGAATGCAACTTAATTCATCTAGTGGTATGGCTATGAAACACTAATCTATTGCTGTAGAAGTTTGCAGTAAAGGTAGAAAAAAAAGGGAATAAAAAACTCAGCTATTTTTGCTATTCTGAAGAAAGTTTACTTCTAATGTATGTCTGATTTTTTGGTTCCTGGACTATTAGCTGCCTGTGGCTTCTATTGTCTGGCCCCATAAGTCTGCAAACATGGACAGGCAATCTCCTCTGAAGGCCAACAGCTTTTTTCTTTTTCTTTTTTTTTTTTAATAAAACTTGAAGAATAAATAGTTAATATAGTATTTTAGAGCAGAGCAGACTTCACAGGGAAAGACATCAGCCAGGCCTTCTACTTCATTGTTGTCCCCCCCCTTCCTTTAATCCTGTTGTGCTTTTTTTCAAGTGACTGAGCTGGCTTTAAAAAAATGCAAAGAAAAAGGACAGAAAAACCTGAAGTGACAGCTCAAGTATAAAATCTGAAGAATAAAACCAGACCATATCTACATTATTACAGTTAGGATGAAAGACAACAATGGCTTCACTGAAGTTTAGTCACTTGAGCAGTAGAAACTGAAAAAAGCACTGCTTCCTTTGCCAAGCCAGGGCACATATGACTACCAGCTTCACAGGTGATGTTTCTGTTTCCAAAAATTAAAAATAGTGCCTCACTGAAGAATCAGTCCTGAAACCTGCCTTGACAGGATGGCAAGGGTAAGGGACAAATTCTACCCCTTCTGAACTCCTTTATGCTGCCTTGACAGCATAGAAGGGGGAGGATGACCCCCCGAGCACACGAGGGGCAGGGTCTGCCATCAGGCCAGTCCCTTTGCACAACCTGAGAAAAACATGTCCTAGGAGAGAAAAGACGTGGTGGTTGGAAGGGCTGAAACGCTCCGCCCACTGCTGGCTGTGGGAAACTGCCATACTGAATGCACCAACTTTTTGTACAAAGTTTGGTATATACTAACAAGGAAGCCAGAGGTAAGCCTTAGACACCTACAAAATGTAGTGGCAGTCAGATTAAGGGCAATAAAGAAAGAAAAGCTGGGTTAAGGACTCAAACCTACCTTTGGGTACATACTTCTGCAACTGCTACTGACTTCACCGCCAGGTCTCTGTCATTGCAAGCAGCTGCCAGCACTGAACTAACCTGTAAAATTGTATGTATATCTAACAACTTAGAAAAAGTCTGCTCACCTGCTTCCTTACCTGAATAACAACAGTAGAAAAAATATTTATCTACACACACACACAAAAAAAAACCCAAAAAAACTTTATAGGAGAAAGAGGAGCTGCCCCAAAACCTCTCAACAACTTTGCAGTTCCATACTGTAACAGTATGTTTAAAAAGTATTTTAATTCAAGCTCCAGTTAAACAGCCTGGCACACCAGGGCTATGTAGAGCCATTCAGCACCTTCCAGAAACACAATGCTGTTATTCCACACAGAAGGAAAGATTTCAGCTTTTCCATCTTTTAAAACAGGACAAAAAACCCTCTTCCATTTGCATTTAGCATTCATGGCCTCAAACTTCTTTGAAATACCATGAACTGTTACACCATCCTCTGAGGAAACGATTTCCAAAGAACACTGCTGCTCCCTCTCTTTTGTGCCACAAGTCCAGTAAGTTGTTGAGAATCCACCAACCAAGACATCTGCATTAAAAAAAATTACTTAGAACTTGGTTTTGGACTCTTCATTCAGCTCAAAGACCACCACCAAGCACATTAAAGAGGATGGGAGGGGCTGCAGGTTAAGGTCAGGAGGCAAAGCCCTTTCCCCTATAATCCAGCTGCCCTGGCAGAAGCAACAGGCTATTTGGTATCCACCATAACTCTGCTCAAAACCTAGGAGTAAAGATACAACCTAGCAGACTACAAATTACTCTTCATGTAAGTCTATGGAACCTTAAAAAAAATAGAAAAATATTAGAAAAATTTAAAAATCTAATTACTTAAAACAACGGAAGAAAGCTGCTTATATTTTTCCCTATTCTTCCACATTCTTCTGCTAGAAGCTGTTTTTCCAGAGTGAAAGGATATGCTACATCAAGTCTTGTGCGCTCTGTGCTTCGCTTGTGTGGTTTTAAGGCAAAATGCCTTTGGTGTGTATCCATGACACATGCCAGCCCTGCACAGAAACACACTGGTGTGGCTTATTGCTCTGGTTTAACAGACAAAATAAAGGACTAGCAAAGCTTTGATTGTCATCTCTTCAGATTGTCAGCCAGCATGTCAAGAGGAATGTAGGAAGTTACGGGGTTTTCTTTTTTGGGGTATCTGGAAGAAGTTCAGTTGGGGCAAAGACACATATTTTAACTGTCTTAACAGCAGCAAATTATTCCTTCATCTATGAAGCTGTGTTGGACCTAAACCACCATGTATTGCTATTAGCCAAGGTATTCTACACTGGTTCCTTTTTACAGTCTCTTCACCATGCACGGTTTAGGATAAGGGAGATGTATCTAAGTAACAGAAAACAGTCCTCTATGGCCTAGTAGGTAGGGATTAGAAAACCATTACAAAATTCTTACTGTGTAGACTATGAAAATAACCAAACAAAAACAAACCCAACTTTGAAAAACAAAAACCATTCCATCTGTACACATTACACCTCAGTAATGGCTTGTAGCCACACAACTTGGTGAAATGTTACCCAGCAGGGCTCGTCCAGTAACTACGCATAGTTTCAGTCAGAAATGGAGAAGACCTTGTCAGGCAATCGTCTATTCCCCTGTCAATGCAGGATCCTCTGGGGCTTTGTACAGCAAATTACATGTACAGCATTCGGAAAGAGCAACAAGTTGTTCCAAAACTTATCTTCGGTTTCTGTCTGAAGTGTCCTTCTTTGCTGAAACTTAGGATAATGAATAAATCAAGGGTCTTCTTCCATGTCATCTGGATTAGGAGCCATAATAAAATGCTGGGGGTACTCTAGGTTGTGTTCATAAGCATGTTCCTTCCAGCGTGCATCATCACTCTCATGGGTAATGTAACGCTCTCCAATGCGCGTTTCAAACTCTCTGAGGTCAAGCCAAGTCTGATAATCCTAAGGAGTAAAAAAAACCCAACAACTAAGAAAGCAGTTTAAGAAACAGCAGCACTACACTCCCACAGATAAATTCTTCAGTTTGTCTCTACTTTTAGTATAAATAGCCACAAGAAACAATCAACAAGATCCGTTAAAAAACCCAACACAACAAACAACAATGAACACATACACACCCCAAAATATCCCAAGAGAGTGTCCACAAAGAGGAGCTCAAAATTAAACAGGTCAGTATTACAGGCTGTAATATTGTAAATCATGACAATTTTTTTGAACAAGACATCTGTTAGCTTTATTTTTAAATCAATGTGTTTAAAACACATACATGAAATTACACTAATTCAAATATTGTTTGGACTCAAAATTAGTTGGATTTTCTCCTTAATGTTTTTTAGGCTATTTGTGTGCATGGATATGTGTACATGGTATTGTGAAAGGAACCCATGTCAAACAAGCAGATAAATTCCATTCCAAACCATACTCTTCTAAAATGACTACAAGCTGTGACACACACCAGCTTCTGAGTCCACTTCAGCACTGAACAAACAATGTTGCTCTCTATACTGATTTCAGTGGGGCTCCATGCACCACCCACCATGCTCTCAGGAGAGGTGCCAGAGGAGTCAAACTAAGCTGATGTCAGACAGAAAGGAACTGGTAGGAGAGACTGTAAGACAAAATCTTCCTTGACGAAAGAAGCCATTAACAGATGTGCAGAATCCTGGAGCACATAAAATATAAAGCTAAAAACAGAAACACTCAAGCCTCCGTGAATGCTTCCTGCCGGCAGTTTTAATAAGCCTCTGAAGGATTTAATAAAAGAAAAATAAATTTAAAAAATCATTATTCACCCATTATGAACACATTGAAAAAGCCATGAATTTACCTGTAACCATGGATGACTAAGGGATTTGTCAACACTGAAACGTTTTCTCATCTTCACTTGAAGCAAATTGTTTATTAAATCAATAGCTGACAAAAAATAACAGAACAAAAATTACATTGCTTAAATACTAATCACCTTTATCATCATTCACATGTTGCACTGAAAGCATATTTTTGTGTGTGTATCCTACTGAACTCTTTTACAGATAAAAAAGCTCTTGAATTTTATCATTACCTTGGCTTATGTTAAATGAGGCAACAAAAAAGGTATGGGTTAAGCTTCCTTTCTCTTTCAGGGAAACACTAAAAGCTTTACAGTATTACTTGTTAATCTTTTTCCCTACTGATTTTAGTGATTTCCAGATGTGCCTAGATAACTTGAGCATAATGTGTTCCAAAATTATGCAGGTACTTCCACTACTGTATAATTTTGTATATGTTCTTCCACATCTACCTGTGTTTTAATCACATACACATCACTAATAACAAAGCTAGCATTGGAGACCAACTTAATAAACTTCTGATTGTTCAGACCTGATGTTTAGATCCAAGTTTTGTTTTACCTGCTAATGTACAAAACTAAAATTCCAGGTTCACCTTCAAACTATTTCTGTAATCATAGTTTGGGTAAAGCAGGTTTTCAGAACAGCATTCAGCAAATACTCATACATTATTTAACTTTTCATGGGGAATTTTGGCAAGTTTCAGGTTAGTTATCATGCATGCAAGTAATTTTTCTTGCTAAATCTCTTGGTTCCTCCAAATTATCTAAAACATTATATTTAACAATTTATCTTTCACAAATACATGGCAGCTCATATTGATCCATTTTGGCACAGCCCACTCAACTCAAACTATCAATAACTCTCACACTCCTATCTGACTGAACCCTGAGATTTAAGCATTTGAACGTATTACCTACATATAAAAGACATTCTAATAGAGAAACTTAATTTCATTACCTTCACTAGAAATCTCCTTCCAAGGATTTGGTGGGTACATAAATGCTGCATTTTGAATCTGATCATTTATATCCTCATCTTCATTAAATGGGAATGTACCACTAAGGCTCACATAGACAATAACTCCTACTGACCACATGTCTAGAGAGCGGTTGTAACCTTTACTCCTGAGAACCTCAGGGGCAAGATAAGCAGGTGTACCCACTACAGAGCGCCTGAAAGATTTTTCACCAATGATACGTGCAAAGCCAAAATCACAGAGCTTCACCTGCAAAAGAAATATATTTTAAACTGAGAAATCTCTGCTTGGCCTCCAAAACATGCTGCTGACCAAGACCAGAGTGGTACTTGATGCCCTTCTGCCATCATTTAAACATTGTATGCATAAAACAGACATAACATGACATAAGCCAGATGGTTAAGGTTTTGGGTTGCTGGTTCTGCAGGCTGCAGATCAAACATGATTTACACTGAGAGCTGAACTGGCCTTGCACAGACTCAGGTCTGAGGTAGCCTGTCTAGCACATAGCCACAACTGTGGAAATAAGGACAAAACACTTGATTACAAATGTTGTGTGGGACAGTGCGAGATGATTAAAACAAATGATGAGTTTTAGCTGGGCAGAAGAGTCCAGTAACAATCCAGGTAAAAAGCATCAATAGCTGGTGCCTGCACTGATGCTCATCTTCATGGTTCTGGGATGGTTCCTCAACTTGAACACAGCAGACATTCGTCCAGCAAAAAGGATCCAAATCAAGTCCAAAACTAACTGCAAGCTAACAAGCCTTCCCTCAGGGTATAAGAGCAAGCAGTGCACTAAAGGCATCCAAGTAACTCTCCAAACCTCCACTCCACTTTTCATTCATGTTGCAGGACTGGAAACAATTCCCTGATGCTGCCTAGCAGCTTTTTATATCTGCATACATCCTCCACAAAATCCATCCTATCCAAGGTATCTGAGGTAGTAGCTGACTGGGCCAAGTGTTCACAGAACATCATACTAGTACCACTTAACAGCATTTCTCTTACAGAAATCAGCTATTTAGTTTATATTACAATGTAGTAACACATATTGATGATGACAATCCCTGACCAAGAGCAGTGACAAACTAGTCAGTCCCTTTTCACAACAGCTTTTAAGTAAGACAGACAGGAGCAAAGAGGTGAAGGATATGCACAGCAGGGAAGAAATTGCTTCCCAGAGTCAAGCAATGCTGAAGCAAAAAGGAGGGCTGGTCTTGAAGCTTCAAATCCTGGGCCTGTTCCACTAGACTATCTTAGCTAATGCAGAATACTAATTTCCATGTACTCTTCACAAGCATAAAAATAGATGCAGTCTACACAGCCTTTTGCTAAGTGTCAGCAGCAACTGTAGTTCTCAGGCTCCTTAGAAGAAAGTATGCTGGTGCAGAATGTTGTTGTGAGATGTTATCCATGTCTGAGGGAAAAAAAAAACTGAAACAGACCACTGAGCATAAAGCTAGGCTAAAAGTTGGAAGGGGAAAAAAAGAAAAGATAACTATAATGCACGTAGTTCAAGTAATTCTAGAGTAAGTCAGTTGAACAATCCCACAAGTGGTCACCTCTTAAACTGCAGTGCCTGTATTTTTTTTCAAAAAGAACAATGAAACATGGTGAAAGAAGTATTTTTTTTAATCTTCACTCACTTGAGGGAATGGCTCTGCTGATGCTAGCAGTACATTTTCTGGTTTTAAATCACAGTGCACAATATTCTTGAAGTGTAAATTCCTCAAAGCAACAAGTATCTACAAAAAAGAAAGAACATTTTCAGAACTATTCAAGTGAATCAAGAGTATGAAAAACCACACACCCTAAGCAACACAGTAATTTGTATAAACATCATCCTCAAGAATTAACCCATACACTATTTTTTCCAGCCTATCAAGACTTAGAAAATCAAACCCATTAGTGGCTTTTTGCGGTTTTGTTTGTTTTTTTGTTTTGTTTTGGGTTTGTTTGTTTTCTCATTTTCTACTCCTTCCTCTATGTCTTTTCAAATGCTTACTGCTTTGACATGCATCTTTGTCTGTAATGTTATGTCTTGGGAAAGAAGGAAAAAAATATGAACATAATTAACATTCAAACTTCTTTCCATGTTTATTAAACTTTCATTAGATGTGCAACAGTCTGTGCAGTCTCTTTTAAACAACAACACAGAAAACCACTTCTCCAAGCTCCATTCCCACGTAATCACAAAAAGACAAATCTAGCCTTTCCTCTCAAAGAAGAGAGGCTGAATGCACACCTGAGTGACCATGAACTTAGTTATTCGTTCTGGAAGTCGACTTTTCTCACTGGAAAGAATCATTTCTAGCATGTCCCCATGCAGCTTTTCCATCACCACAAAGACACGTTCTGGGGTTTCAAACATACATTCCAGGTTCACGATCCCAGGGTGGTGCAAATTCTAAAATAAAGCAGTAGAGGTACATTATTAAAATAAAACAGTATGAAATATCCTGAATTACACAAAACTGCTGCATCTCAAATAAAAAAGTGGAGAGTTTGAGATGAAAATACAGAATGCCTGAGGCAAGAAACTAGCTTTAAACATAAACCCAACCCATGAAACACATGGATTATCACTACTAAGACCGATTTAATACAAAATATCCATAGTGATTAATTTTGTAGTCTATGCACTCAGTAACTTGAGTACAGAACACGCAAAAATAACACTCAGATTAAAAAGTCAGTAATGGAAGACAGCCAAAAGTAATACAGAATTTCCTGCTACCTGCAGGCGACGACATGGAGCTGAAGTACCTGCCTTCAGTGGATCCCCTATAGGGGGTAGATACCACCCTCAAGTTATCAATTCTACCAAATACTCAGGAATTCCTACTCTTCTAAGATCTCCTCTTACAAAAAGATTCAGAAATCACGTTTAGAAATCAATTCAGAGCACTTACAATAAAAATCTTGTTAATAGCTTGAGACAAACTCCAATGTGATTAAAAAAAACCCTGTTGTACCTGGAGAATGGCTACTTCATTACGAAGCTGACTTTCCTGTTTTGTTGGAAACCTCATCTTGTCAATGACTTTGATAGCTACATCTCTTCCAGTCTTCCTATGCTTTCCTAAACAGAAATATCATTATCAGCCACCAAGAGGAAAAGATAATTCATAGCTATAAAACATTACAGCAGAAATTCTTTTTGGGAGGAACAAGTGTATTTTCTACAAATGTACAATATTGCCATATTTATATTTCAAAGTGCAACTGTTATCTAAGTAAGAAGAAGTGATCAATCTCAACGGGACAGTTAGAGAAAAATTTAAACTGGTTATTACTGTGCTGTCAGCTATGCACATTGACGTTAGACGTATCAGATGAAGTTTTTGCTTGTGCAAGGGACTTGCACATTGGCAAGTAATACCTACTCCCACATAATATTGCCTCTCCTGCAAAAAACACAACAAAACTATTCAGGACAAATACAGAGATCTCCAAGTCCACTCCAGAAGCTTCACACTTTTATTGGCTCCACACACAGGAAACTAAGTCTAATGCCCTGCAGGAATGTTGGGGTAATTACATGCCACTAACGACACACTAACACCCAGGAAGCAGCCTGCTGTGATCTAAAAGCTCTACAAGCTTGTTTAAAGAAGTTAAACATGCTGCTAGAACAAAATACTATTCCTTGCTGCAACCTGCATAAGCTACATAAGAAGCATTCTGCAATACACAGATAGGATGTTTCAAGGGCTAATTAAGCAGATACAAGTGCTTACCCAGCTTCCCCACAACTGCTAACCTGACTTGTAACATTCACATCAGAGAGGGTTAATGAGATCACACACTGCAAGGCCTTGATAATCTAAGACATTTAATACTAAACTAATACAGAACAGTAAGCGTGCACCAAAGGATAAAAACACAAAACAAAACATTATCTGCTCAGTGATGGGTTTGGAAGCCGGTTTTGGAACACTGGCACTGCTACAGGGAGCCCAGCTACATCTTACTAACTAGCCAGGCCTCACCTGCTGCTCGGCAGTCAGCACTGGTAGCCAGGGCTCAAGCAGGGCACCGGAATTGCTCCAAAAGCTACTGCACCAAACAGCTAATGCACCTGCCTTACAGGTCATCATGAATAAAGGGTCAAAACCAGTTTTATCTCCACTGGACAAAGTAAGGCAGTTGACGGAGACAGCACTCAAAGGCCAAAAGGGTTTATGAGGTTACCAGCTAGGACCAACGATTGGAGAGCAAGAAGTTTTTAAAAGATTACATTTGTCCTGAGGAAAGCATACACTGCCTAATGGGACTGTCACAGGCAACAGTATAAAGGCAGAAGTCTCCAAAAAGAGAAATCCAGGGAGTTTTGTCATTTGTCTGCAAGAAACCAGCAATTTTAGGCAAAATTTTAGAAATCACAGCATCCAGCTATAATTTAAATAAAATCCTAGATTCAAGGAAAGTGACTCTAGCTCCACTAGACATTAAATTCTATTGAAAAGTAGCAGAAATACCATTAATTACAAACTTGATGCAAAACTCTGAAGACAAAAGCTAGGTTGCAAGAAAACAGAAAGCAAAACCAACAAATCAACAAAACACTTAAAACTACAGAACCTAGACTACAGCTAAAAACTGAACATGAAGAAATACTAACAGAAAAGTAGCTGAAAAATTTCTTTTCCTAAGTAAAACACGATCAACTAGGGCAAGTTTTACAACAAACTGTTGAGAAATCTTTTTTTCTCCCCATCTCCATTTTTCAGACACTTCAAAGCTAACCAACCACAATAGGAAAAGCAGAGGGGGGGGATAAATGGAACAAAAATAAATTTTAAAATTACCCTTATTTCTTTAAATAAAAGGTTTTGTTACCATTTGCTCAGTAAGTCTAGATAGGGGGGAGGGAGAAGCCAATATTAAAAGCTACCTGATCTAGGTCTCCCCAAAGACCAGCTACAATTAAGCAGTGTGCAGAGCCAGCAAAAAATGTATTACTTTATATTCTCTTTTCTCGCTCTTTCGACTTATGATTTTATCTTAAGAAACTGTGTATGCACAGCCTATATATTTTAAGGCATTTTTAAGTGCACAGATATGTAACAGATAATATTATATAATATATAACAAAATATGTAATATTATATATATTATATATAATGAAAGCCTTTTATAAGCATAGAATGAAAAAATACCAATCTGGATTTTACCTAAAAGGCAATTTAGGAAAGTATATAGAAACAAAAATCAAAATGTTGAACTACTGTCTGCATTTATGCATGTTATGTTGCTAATAGAGGGAACATACTTCAATTCACACCATGCTTTAAGAAATTTAGAAGGAAAAAAGGAGACCCCTCTCAGAAGTGATGTAAAACTAGACCATCCTACTGCATTTCTATCAAGCAGTTCAGAAGTGATAAAGAAAAATATTTAACTACACAGTTAGCACACAGAAAAATCATAGCCACAATACTTCCTGACTAGGATGACAACATGACAGAAGCAGAAGTGTTACCACTTTTAAATAATTAGTTATCACTTTTTCTTGCTTTCCAGATTTACAGTCTGTGGTTTTCTCAACCCTTGAGATACAACATATGGTACAAAAGAAAAAAAAAAAAAGGGAGGTGGGGGAAAGATACTTCATATTATTAATTTCTACTGCTTCTTTTTGTGCTTACATACTTTATGTGTGTAGCTATGTTAGCTATATATTGTTAACAAGCTATATGTTGCAATAGTTTTTAAGAACTAAAAGTGATAAAACTGTATTTGAAACCTAAAGCTGAGACTTCTTGACAAAGAATTCCTCCCTGTACCTTACCCTGCTGACAAAATTTTGTGGAGAAACTGTTTGCCCAAAATGTGTCAATAATATGTCTGCACAAACAATGTCAAAGCACAAACTAAAATAGGTATTTTTCAATTGCTTTTGGCCACATTTCTCAGATATCATTAATAACAGGTAGAAGTGACAGTCTCTTTACATACATGACTTCTAATACCATTTAATAAAACAAATGTTAGAACTGCAATTTAAAAAAAAACATCAACCAAGGTCAAACTCTAACTAGAGACTGCTTTGTATTCAATAGTGATCAAAATGCAATGCATAGTCTAAATTTATTTTGATGGCAAAGCACAACTCTAAATGCAAAATGACCTGCAAGAAATACTGTACAGAAAACTGCAGAGAGACATTGTGAAGTAATCCAAACAAAACTTTTAACAATATGAACTACACATGGACATTCTAGATACAGCTAAACAAATACAAAAGACTAATCATATAGAGCAGACAGACACTCTACCTTAATAAATGCACAATGGAATCTAATGTAATTTACCTCCATATACAATACCAAACTGACCAGAACCCAGCACTTCATCAGCAAATATTTGGTACACAGAGCTGATATCCTAATGCATGAAAAAAAGAAATCACAAATATCAGGAGCAATCAAAATGTTCATGAGCAGATTAGTTAGTACTGGCTAAGCTGTATTTATATTTGATGTTAATCAAGCTCTGTAAAGCTTCCCATCATCACTACCCCAAATGGAATGGAAAACAACAACGTTTCCTGAAGAGAATCCACTTAGCTGACTGTAAGCAGGGAGCTACATACAAGCTGACAGCTGTGACAGGTCAGTAGATTACTTCCCGTACCCTGGTGTTGCTTTTTAATACCCAGGTAAATAAATACTACTATTATATAATGCATATGACTCACCACATTCTCCTGGACCTGGCAATTTGAAACAGAGATGCTTAGAGATAACTCTTCTGCAATAAAGATAAAACTGAGTAAGTAAATAGGTAGGGCAGACTTTTTCTAGTAAAAAGGGGGAAAAAAAACCAAAAACCTTTATTGACTTCTAACCCAGTCATAGTGAAACAATTGTTATTGACGTTCTGCAAAAACATCATATCCCGGAACTCACATTTCACAGATTGATTAGATAAACAATCCTGGGAGTTTTGCTAGGATTATTTGTCTATTTTTGTTATATTCCTGATACAAAACTCATACAACACTATGAGTGTGCACAGAATAGAGAGCTGGAAAACCAAAAGCAATAGTAATGTAGCAAGTGTATCAGAGTTCATTAAACTGTTAAAAATTTCTGGTAGTAATATAGGAAAAATACAGGGAAGAGAACTGGGTAGATCTCTTATAGTCAAATGAATGTGGTTACTAATTTTCTGTGGCATCAAGATATACAGAATTAATGCATAAGAAAGAAAACAAATCAAGCAAAGCAAGTAACAGAAGACTTGATAATTTAAAAAGCAGTAAAATGCCTAATACAAACAAACTCTGCTTCATGGACAAAGTGTAGAAGCGTATCAATCTCAGGAATATAAGAGCACATCTAGGAAGTGTAATCTGCCAGTAGTAAAAGACCAGATGAAGGCACAGGATACTTCAGACTGTAGCAGATGTTGATACAAAGTTTTCATTACAAAAATAACATGATGCATTGACAAGAGGAGATACATCAAGGAAGGCAAAATACTCTCTTTCCTTTTTACTTTCAAGACAGAGGTGAAGCATCTCAAACACCTGACATTTGTTAACTTCAGAAAAAAATTAGAACAAATGTATCTAGAAGTTGTGTAGAAGATATGCTACAAATTTAGTAGCATTTTAAAAAGAGCCTTTATCACCTTAAGAAGAGCCTTGAGCTTTAAAAACTATTTCAGAGAACAAAACGCATCCTTATCTGACTTTTGCTACCTGTGCTTTATCTCAAAGGAGGAATTTACAGGCTGAAGATAGCCACAAATACTAGTTCTCAAAGACTCTCTGGCTACAGCATCTGAAACATGAACTGGAATTACAGCCTGGCGTGCATCTACTTATTATTAATCATAGCCAAGTCTGTATTGGAATAACAGTAAAGAACACAGGGAAAACAAAGAAAGGCAGACAAGAGCGTTAACTAAGGTGAACACAAACTGCAGCAAGGTTGAAACAAAGTAACCAGAAGGTGAAGATAAAGATTTTGAAACTCTTTAAAGAAAACAGGCTGAGCCCTTCTCCATAGACAGCTACAGAATCCAAAATACCTGGTATGTAGAGATTGAGTTACTCCTTCCAAATAAATCATTTTTTCTAGTGTCTCAAATGCGTAAGAATAAAGGCTGAAAAACTGCCACTTCTGAAGAAATCGGTAATGCCAGGATTCAATTGCCAAGTAACAGCTTGCTGCTCTTCCTCATTTCAGCTCAGAAACATCCCACCCCCTACACCAGGTATAAGCTCAGAAAGGACTCTCCCATGAGTCAGCCTGGAGGGGCATCCTCATTTCTAGCTACTTTCTAGCTAGAATATGGTATAAACTGACAAGGTAGTGTCTTGTGGACATTTTGACACTACCAATTCCCTGCTGCTTCAAGTATTTTAAGCACTAGCAATGCCTCCCTACTTTTTTGGTCTTTTAATTTAAATTAATATAGTTGAGGCTTTGGGAGTTTTGTATTTTTAAGTAAAAGCCTAATGTTCTTAAAGGCTCTTGGAATACATTACATGGCTCACAATGTTCAGTAGTGATGAACAGACATTTTGTAGACTTGTTAAGTTTAAAAATCAACCTGGTCATGTCTAAGAATATGGGAACATCATTCCACAACTTACACTCCTACAATCCTAAATATGTCAAAGTACTTCCTCTCTGTATCTACCTGCACAGGTCTATTCTCTACCATTGTCAAGTTTTACTACAAAAATATTATATCTGCAAAAATATAGCTTTTGGAAAAAGCAACTGCCTTTAAGAACCTCTCAGCAACAGTAAAGCCTTAGGTTCTAGAAAACAAAGAGTTTTGCTATATAAATATATTTGGAACTATGAATTTAATACCAAAAGTGGCACTTTACCTATATATAAAGGCCAGTTATGATGTTCTATCATACAGTTATAACCCTTCAATGTAATAATTTAATAGTTTACCATTAACAACAATGGTTGCATTTTCAGGAAGGGCCTTTACCTCAGACTAGCATGTTCTTAACTGTTGCTGATTCAGAATAACCAAATGGCAGAGACAGAAAATCCAATCTCAGAAACTCAAGCAAAAAAAAATTTCACTAGAAGAAGATAAAGGAGTAGCTGGAAGATGAAATGAAACTAAAGAATTAATGGATAAGTCTCAGTACGGAGCATGAATCTATGTCATTGCAAGGAACAAGATGTCTGAAAAGAAAAAAAAACAAAACAACACGTATACAGCTGAGCAGAGCCTTGATAATAAATACAATCCTATCCCAGAGAAAGGGAGGATGTGTGCACAGATGGAAGAATAGGATACTTTACCACCCACATCTCAGCATAAGTTCTTTCCATCACTAGCAGTCTTTACATTGCCTTGCTATCTCCTCTTCTCCTCCATAGCTACTTATATTTCCCAGATTTAAAAAACGCCACACATAGTGGATGTCAAAAAGTATCCAAATTTTGTTCTTTCAGATTATATGTATATAATCTGAATATACATATACTTTTCTAAAGTATAATATCTAAACTATGGTCCATTTTCACATCCAGCAACTGTGTGCAAGTTCTTATATATATAAAAATATATATATACACACATCCACATACTCCTACCATAAAGCTCTGCAACATGCATTCATATTGTAAATATTATTCACAACTACTCCTTCCTGCTACAACAGATTAAAGGATCTGCCCACTCTCCACAAACCTGAGTGTCACTTTTTAGAGACCTGTGGAAAATTATGGACCTAATTCAGCAGAGGACAGACAGTACTTGACTCTAAACAAGTGTTTTTCTGAAAGGAATCTCTACCATTAGCAGCTTCAGAATATGAATAACAGTGCCTTGTCTGCCTGCTTACTGTGATCTTTTCCTTGTCCTGCAGCAGTGCAAATGCTAGCTTGAGGAGTGACTGGCATCAAAGCCTGACGAATGGCCTTCTCCCAGCCCTGAGCTACGTCAAGTCCAACTCCGGTGGCAGCAAGAACAGGACTGTGATGACTGCTGCCATTGTTTTCGCCAACAAAGTACACCATCGTGTCAGTGATGATCTCAAAACAGTATGGGTTGCTGCCCTGCACCACGTTTGAAAAATCTCGAGGCTGAGTCACCTGGAGAATTTCTGAAAGTGGAATCTCCTGAAGAAAAATATTAAAGATTAAAAAATGAAAATGCACACCATATTTTAATATACTGATATTAAAAACTTAAAGTTTGCAAAGAAATCAAAGCAAATATATTGAAATATCAAAATGTCAGGCTTCACAACTAATGTCAAACTGTGCATGACAATTGCCCACCCAGTTTTCTGAATTCCTCTATACAAGCCTAGAAAGACTTCCAGCCCCACCACAGTTCTCTCTATATAACTACTATTTTCCATGCAGACAAACCGCATTTATCTATTCAGCATTAGATACACCACCACCACACAGAAAATATGCACAACTATAGCATGGCCATCTTCCCCCTGTAGTTTATACAGCTTAGCTAGAGAAGAACATGATGGGGAAAAAAAGTGAAACGACAACATTAAGAAGAAGATGTTGTTACAAAAGCTAGTCAAGAAGCACTGCTGCAAGTATCTGAATCGCATTGGGCAAAGATTCTCTTCCACACAGATATTAACAATTTCTACTGACTCCTCTATCTGGTCAGTTTAAAATCACGGTATGACCAGTACTAACTAACAGCTCTAAAGGAAGAAATGGTTGCAAGTTCACACTAGCTGGAGGAGGACATTCCACATAAATAGGAAGGTGTACAGGTGCACATCACTTGCAAGAGTCGTGAACAAACAGGTAAACACCGGGTGCACATTAGGTGGATAAGAGACATCAGCTGATTAGGATGAAGAGCAAAGAAATGTAAAGGCAACCACTGGGAATGATTCTAACGGCGAAGACAAATAACGTGAGATTTAAGCAGTTAAAAAAAGGGGTGCAAAGGGGAAAGTCAAAGGACTAAAAGCAGCAACATAACAGAGCAACAAGCAAGGAACATATTTTACCAGCTGTGTTTTGAATGCACAGGGCAATACTAGTATCAGAGAGGTCTGAGAAGAGACTGCATTGGTCAAGAGAGGGATGAAAAGGATCTGGGCAAGTTTAGCTGGGTGAACAGAGAAAAGGCTTGGTCTTAGAGATGTTATAAAGGAAGAAGCTGCAAGATTTGGAACCCCACCTAAAGGTGTAAGACAAGAAAGGGAAAAATCCTGTTTATTCATCAAACACATTTTATGAACATTCCACCATTGAACATACTACTATAGTAACAATATACTACACTTGAAGCTAAGCATCATTAATGTAACACCAGGCTGCACAATACGTTTCCCTCTAAATCTTGCCTGAAACTTCAATTGTGCAGCTGGGAATAGTTTAATTTTGGGAACCTCAAAATAAAATACACAAGCATGCAATTTTCAAAAATTTCACTACTCACAGAACATAAAAATCCTAGCCTTCATTAGACTGGCAGCCAAACAAATTCTCTGGTAATTGTGAAAAAAAGCTTAATACGTTAGCTAATTCAGGAGTACAGTACATGTAAAATGTAAAGAGAGACATACTCAAGGGAATTGGAACAGGAGCTGCAAGCAACTTTTCAGAGTTAGTCTTGATCCTTCTCACTTACAAGATTTGGCAAACAATTAACCTGATTACACTTTTTTAACAGATGGTGAAACTTCTACTGATCAGAAGCAGATTTCAGATCTATAAAGCACCGAGTAAATGAAGTGTAACAATTTTTACTCATCATTCATTACCTTGTAGTATTTTGTTCCAGATTCATTTTGAAATAGCGTGAGGCATTTGCTGTCCAGTCTCCAGTAATGTCTTTTTCTCTACAAAATGCACCAAAAAATAACTTAAGGAATAAATCACTGGTATGGTCTTTGTTACCTGATTATTTAAGTAAGAAATGCTTTAAATTGCTGAGATAATCAATTAATGTTCATCAACAGCTGCATCTTAAGACTAGATACATGAAAAAATACAGTTTTGGAATAAAGATATTTTTTAAACTCAAGAGAAACTCAAAAATTATTTCCTCAAACCAGAAAAAAGTATCACTTACTTTACAGTAATAGCAGTGACAACAGCAGCTAACACATAGAAGAAAAGCATTTCCCT